CGTTGAATTGCCGGTGAATCAACGTTTGTGTACTTTGAGAGGGCATTTCAATGCGAAGTCTAGAGCTAACAAGTTAATGACTGGGAAAAAATCATTGCTTTATTTGAGTGCATTTTTTCAGGTTTTTCGTCATTGACACAACCTAAAAAAGACACGTTCTTTAAATGCATTATCTTCTATCTTTAACATATCTTTGCAAGTCGCGTCACCATCAGCGAAAATCGTGAATGAGGAGGAAATGAAGATATGAAGATGAAAATAGATCAGATGTCGATACGTAAGGAATAAAAAATGAATGCTCTCATAATGTACAGTTCTCTGAATGAAATCGTTACTAAATTACAAGCATAACGACAGGGTGAAGAACTCACGATGAAGTTTCCCCTCAAAAGAATAACTTAAAACGGCTCCAAGCGACCGTGCAGCTCTATCTTTCCCCCCCCCCCCCCCCTCCCTTCCCCCCCGCCCCAGACAATGAAAGTTGTTGAAATTAAGCCAGGGTGCTTAGGGCAGTTCGAGCCAAGCGGAGGGAGGACCCAGGAAGGGAAACTTTTGAAACTTTCTATAGTGAGACCACCATTCATCATCTTCGAACGTACTGAAATCCATGCGTGGGAGAAATCACAGCAATTAGAGTCATGCTCTCTTTGAGCATCTACCCAGTCCGGTCTCTTCGATGGTCAAATATGAGAAAGCCTAACTGCAAACATATTTCAGCGCGGAAATTGAAGCAGAAACCCTCGTATTAGGAACTGAATAATTGCATGCTTTGGCTCATGGGTTCATGTTGGCCGTCGTACTGAAAGAGACGCCAAAACCTCTTTCCTGTAGATGGGTGGATATCTGACTATTGATAGCCCTGTTCGCATCCAAAAAAAATGTTCTGACGCTTGTGAGGAAGTTTCACTCGGTGTCTCTCTCCATCCTAACAGCCATCTTTGAGGCAGTATTAATCTCTTTCTTAGATGATGTTCTTTTATGCATGTAATACCGAAAACTTCCTTTCACACTATCACAGACAGGTCAGAGGAGAGGGGTCATCCTGAATGTCGTTGAAGTCGTTCTTTCCATGGGGAAAAATAATTGGGTAAGAATTTGTTCTTTTCTGTCTGGTTTCTCATTGCCTCCCCTCCACTGTCTGGATATGAATTCCTTTCGGGGGAATGCGGACCCTCGCCTCATCACATCCATGAAGGAGGTTCTCCCTTCCCAGCACTCGGGTTAAGAATGAAGTTGGTTGGAAAACGTCATCCGTGAAGACGTACTGGGTAACGAGTGATGCGATCCATTTATTCTATTCCTTTCACCTAAATTGAGAATTCTCGCCCCCCATGACTTCCCCTTGACCTAGAACTGACAATTCCCTCGTTCGATTTCCTGTCCCCGGGCGAAACTACTAGACTTCATCGATGAAATGGTGGAGGTGCAGAAAGTATCCTTCCTGGAGAGGAAATTATGTCTGGAGGAGTATGGTCGTATTCAGGGAAGAAACGAAGTCAAGGGAAGCTTGGAGTAATTGTTCAGAGGAAGAATTGAAGGAAGGGACATTGTGACCATGAGCGCGTTAGGACCCTTCTAATGATGGAGTCCCCCCCCCTCCCTACAAAAAAAAAAAAACCTATTCCTCGGCATAGAGTGATCTCAGATCCTTACAATTAAATAAATTAGGGAACAGGAGCTCGCATCACCATGCTCATGGAACGCAATGCCGAGGAAAGATGGAGAGAAGATAATTTTAGGCTATTAGGAAATGGAGACGAGGTTTATGACCATCGCGGGCCTTGTCACTTTCAATGACATGTCTGACATGTGGAGAAAAGCCTGTTGCTACGATCTCAGAGTATGTTATCTGCACTGTGATGCGGCTTTTTTCAAGCTATACGTGTATTAAGTCATCTTTCAAATTTCATTTGTGTGCATCGAGGAGCATGTCTCAAGTAGGAGAACGGGCCAGAGAGTTAGTGTGATATACACCATATTAGCTAAATATATATATATATATTTTTTTTTTTTCAGGGGTTCAGGGTGCATTTCACAAAACTCGGCTGAAATCGACTGTCGTCGATCGATTTTCCTGCCTCGTTGGCTCTCGTGTGCATGACCTCTCGGATCGATCGAATATGGCCACTGCCGGTGCATCCGATAGCTTTAGCCCTTTTTTATTTTTCGTTTTACTTAATCATTACGTGGACGTCTTCTGTCAGAAGAAGGAAGCGGCGGGGGGGATTTCGAAAATTGCAAAACAAGATTTGCTGGAGGAGCTTTCAAGTCGACAATTTCTTTCAATCTTGCATCAACAAGTACGTGCTGTTCCGTCTCGCATTCGATCGGAACGGAATCGAAGGCGGCACGTGGATATAAGAGAGTACTTTCGGGTGCGGGTGAGGCTTATTGAACGTCAGAATCGCAACGGAAATGAGTATTTCACATTTTCAACCTTCTGATAGTGGAGACGGTCGGGTGATCCGTTGGGATGTGTCAAATTCCAGGACGGATTAAATCTGCAAGGTGAGATGAGAAGCTGTGGCCTTGGATGTTACAGATCTTTAATTTTCTCCTGCGAATATTTCTCCTGTCACGAGGAGTGACGCGCAAAACTCTCCAGAAACCAGCGTCCATGATGTTACCACTGGTTGAAGGAGGGGGAGGGGGAGGGGGAGGGGGAGGGGGTGGGGGAAGGTGCTGCCGTGCAGGCGGTTTTACCGCTCTCCAAGGTCTTGATGTCGAGCTGGCAAATTTAAAGTTGGGGATCATCAGTATCAAACTTATGCCGGGAAAAGGCTTATGGCGATGCCAATGTCCTACTTATCATTTAAAAACGTGATGCACATAACTTGCGTGTGCTGATTTCGAATTCGGCTTCCAATTTCAGTCAGCTTCGATGTCAATTTGCGAACGTCATCCAATAATCGTCTGATTTCAGAGGAAGGTGGATTCGAGAGCCCGGGAATGTTCCACGAGCGTATTCAAACCAACTAGCTGCAAGAAACTGGACTAGCTTTTGGAAGCAATCAAAGAACCCCCAGGACGAACTGGGATTGGAATGGGCATATGCAACACGAAACGTTAACCGTCGTGGACGACTCGATGTCGGCATCCCTGCTGCTGATAGGTATCGTTAACCGCATCACTTCCTGGGAAACATAAATGTCGTTGCGAGGAACCATTCTAGATATCCTTGGTACAACCCTCAAGATGAAAGAAAACCTCAAACGAAAATATTTATTCCAATGTAAGAAGCGGAAGAGATTCCTCGAAGTTTCTCTTCACGTATGAGGTCAGGTGGACAAGTATGACACATACAGCTAGGTATGGCCAAAAATAACGACTGACGAGTTTTGACTGAAATATCTCCGATTAAACTGGAACTATTTCTGAGAAACTTTCACATTGCAAATTCTGAAAGAACTTTGAGAAAACACTCTGGTTAGGACAGCGGTCGAGTGTTTCCTCCGCTCAGAACACTTCCTCGGTCCAGCAGAAGCTCCTGTCTTTTCGCAATGTCTAACTTATATTCAATGATTGTTGATAGTATTTCTCCCGCTTAACAAATTCGGATGACGTATTGCGAATCAGTTGGAAACATACAAAGATATACTTAGAGAAAGTTTCGTGAAGATAGCTCTCGAGCGAAGTGAGCACAAGTTCACAGTGAGCGAAGATATTTAGGTTGAGAGTCGTTGATCGTTTCTTTTGCCATACCCTGCATATGCCAACTCTATGTCCAATGGGTCCTGATATTACACATTACGAGAGATGGTCAGCTGGGGTCAGAATGCAATCTGTGGAAAAGCGGTTACTACGTCTCCGACTTTCCCTCAAAGGAGACTAGGCATCGTTCGGACGCAAGAAGGCTGCAAGAGTCCTGTGGATGGAGTCGGGGAGCTTGACGGTGGTTGGGTGGAGGGAAATGGAGATGCGTCTGTCCGAGGGAAGGTCGCGATGGTCCGAGTGCCCTGACGAGGCGGTGAGTAGTAGTGTCCTCTTTTTCGTGGTCCGTTGGCGGAGGTTGGGGTGTCGTCAGGAGATGCTGGACTTGGGGGAGTGGGGGCGAGCAAGCAGTCACAGGGTGCGTTAAGACCTGTTCTATGAAGACTGAGGTAACCCGAGCTCTTCACTTTTCAAGTGGGTTCCCCAAGAGAACTAGAGGGTTTTATATTTGAATATAATTAGGGAAAAACCTTCAATTGTAATAACTGTGGCATGGCTGGACGAAATAGCCACTTCTTTTGCGCAGCAATGCCCAGCAGGATGGGGTTTTATTTCCTGGTGGCGTTGCATCCACGTCCATCAGTGAGACAGGTCGCTCCCCCCTCCATCTTTCAAAGTGGAAGGGCAAAAGGGGTAACGGTAGACTCAAAGTATCTATGTCAATAGTACGAGGGCACCAACGCAGCACGTTGTGCGGCGATCAGCCATGTCCATTGCCTAGCTAACCTGCCACCTGAGACGGGCAACAGACACAATACCTTGTCTGACCACAGCAAAGTGGTTTGATACCACAATGGACAGGACGATCTGTAACGGCTGCCAAACGGGTCTACCAACAGGAAAAGGGTTGAGTAAAGGTCCCTGCTAGCCATGGGCTATGAAAGCACACTTTTAGAGGCACTAGGCAGCAGGCAGGACTCAGAATGTTAAGAACCCAAGGACAACCTTTCACACCTGTGGATGTGGATCCATTGCCCTCTATAAATAAAACCCTATCATGTTAGGTATTACCATGCAAAAGATGAGATTCAGTCCAGCCATACCTCAGTTATTGCAATTTAAAGCTTACAATCCTGCATATATTCTGATTTGAATGTGGAACATTCCCATCCCTTTTTAACAGACATGGCCAGTCATTGTCAATTGTTTGCAAATGCAGTGTGCATTATCTTTTAATGTTCCCCCCCCCATGAATGTCCTTTTGATGATGGCATGGCTGATGCAGTCAAAACATGAAAATCCAGTTTCAATGTAAACAAGAATGAATTTTTTCCAAAATGGGAATGGATATTGTTGCCCATATGTCTATTCTATACCTTGCACAGCATTGTTTTCAAACCCATTCTTATTCACCACATCACAGGCATACATCACTACAAAATGATGGCATTCAGAGCAGCAAAACAATGTTGTTTCATGCCCACATCTGAGACATGGACATGAAACAACATTGAAAAAACATTTTGATTGTATAGTTTTTCTTCACCTCTAAAGATTACTCTACCTAAAAACAATCCTATATAATTCAACATAAGTGAAGAAAATTTAAATGGGATAAATATATGACAGATTTATGATCACCAAAAAGTCACTCATTCAAGATATTGCAATATTAGGTTTAAGTTCTCTTGCATACTAGTCAAGATGAAAAGCATTAACAAAAAAAAGGACCATACTAAGAGGCTACCTATTGCCATTTGCCCTATCGGGTAAATCTTGCTGTAACAGGTGTACCACCTTGTTTCACTGTGGGAACTTAGTGATGGCATCATGGATTGCTTCAGCAACATAGCTGACGTTCTTTGTGGTCAGTCCGCAGATGTTGATCCGGCCACTCTGCAGCAAGTAGATGTGGTGGACTTTCACAAGATGATCAACTTGTATGGCTGTAAAGGAAGGTTCCATTCTCCCTGTTATGTCACATCATTGAGGCAGCACTCATTCCCAATAGGGGTCTCAATTTATTGGGCCTGGTGACTTCTTTCACATGAATGAGGATTATGAGCTTTCCTCAACAAAAAATATATGTTATTGTGGTGGGAGCACCTGATTGTCTAAAAGTTTGGAAGTCTTCATTGTGTAAGAGTTTGGGGAGGCTATAACAAACTGATTTTAGATTTAGTTACAATAAGCCTCAACAATTTTTACCAAGGTCTAATAAGTAACCATCTACCCATTGGAATTCCACAACCTAAAATGACAGATAATAACAGACTTTCAACAAGATGTATCCCTTTCCCAGAAGATAACTGGAAATGGAAAATGGAGAAAATACATCTTCCATACTGAAGCCATAAAACAAAAAGGATATTATTTTACAAGTGACTGAACTTATTGAAAATAATTACCTCTGTTACTTCTCCATTTCATGGGGTGAAAGTAGAATATAATTTTCTGAGAAACATGTATTTCAGCATTTTCAGAATTGAATTCATTCTGATGAAGCACCATAGTATCAGGAGGAATTTCTAATCTCTCTTGTGCCAGTGGCATACTGATCCTATGTATATTCTACAATATAATTACTTATGGAAGATTAAAATATTTTCTGCTCTACTTTAGATTTGATAATAAATGTATATTCTGATCCAGTATTTGTGTAGTATTAATAAACTGAAGCTGAAGATTGGTTGGATGGGATCTGATTGTATGATAGTATCCTCAGATGACTCAATGTCAAGAACATCCATGCAGCTGGAATGCCACATTTATTTGTTCAAATAATCAATTTATTGATTGTATAAGTGCATTTACATTTTGCAAAGCTTGTGATTCTGAGGTGAGTTTAATATCTTGAATATAGATCGGCAAGAAAATTTAAAAGACCAGAATAATTTATGGAAGAGAAATTGAATAAGAGCAGGTAGTCAAAGGAACAGGAGTTCCTATTCTAATCTTTTCCACAAATTTTTATTTTCTTTTAATTTTTATAAATGATCCATGATAGAGAAAGAAAACTAACTCCAAAATCATAAGCTTTCTAAAATGTAATTGCTGGTTTGCAGTAAAAAAATTAATGGATCTATTTAATAAAACATAAACAATAGGAATCCTGAATTAGATGTGCCTTGGATGATTATACTTACTTAGGTTAGGGGGGTACATCTATGTGAGACACCCTGTAGTACGTAATCCAGGATATGCAAGCACTATCAATCCTCTCCAACTTGTTAGGACAGACTTACGAGAAAGGCCAGTGAAGGAGAACATTCCAATCTGTTGAGTGATGTGATCCCACTTCCCAGGAGTTCCAAGCTTCTCCAATTGGCTTCGAAGGGCTTTCCTCATCTCAATGATTCGACCAGACATAGTCTTGATACAAGTTTTCCTAAGCAAAAGCAGCATTTAAGATGCGGTAATCTCATGCTCAATTATTCAAGATAAGCAAGGTCAGAGGTAGAGAGACAGACATTATTTCTGCAAAATAAACAACAAGGATATTGTGAAATGGCACTTTCACCCTTAACTTCACTTTGAATGGGGTCTCAACAACTACTCCAAAAAATTAACATACTCACACATGCTAAAGAAGTATAATTGTGATATACAGGGTGTCCCATGGATCACCGACACATTTGTTTTTTTTTTTTTAATTTCTCAGGAATTGCTAATGCATTCAACATGAATTTGAAAATAATTCAATTGAAGCTTTGGAAAAAAATGCTTCAACATTCAGAATTCACCAAGCATTGCTTTTTGTTATGTAAATAACATTTTTCAAATGCTATCCATTCTGATTGATGCACTCTCTTTGCATTGAACTGAAGCATTGTTCTTTTTTGCCTGCAATTTGTCCCTGTCAATGGTAGTGATAACTTCCCTAATTCTTTTCTTTAGGTCATCATGGCATATCTGGTGTCACTCTACATAACTTTGAGAGTAGAATCACATAGTGAATAATGGAAGAGGTGTTTACAAATGAATGAAAAAAATACTCTGTATATAAAAGAAAGTACAAGTTATTTTAAATGTAGACCTAGATCTAAATGATCATGAGTGGCAATCCAAACATTTAATTCACTTACCATTCCTCAAAAAGCTGAGCATCATTCAGGACCATGGCCACAATGCGTCCACCATGATGGGGCGGGTTGGAATACATTCCTCGAATGATAAGAGTTATTTGTGATCGAAGATTGGGTAGGACTGCACTGTTCGCTGTGACCACTGTCAGGTTCCCAATTCTTTCATCTGGGCACAGAAAGAATGCTCATGAATATAAAACTTAAAAAAACCACAAATGCCAAATATGTTCTTCAAAAAACCATGCCTTCAAAGCCATGCATGTCACACAACATATATATCAATATATATAGCATGAAGTGTGGAGGTGAATGGGAACATGAATTCACATCCAAGAACATTCAGGAAAATTTACCCTCTCCATGAGGCCTCCATGAAGTTCGCAGCTGAAAGAATAATGTAACTTTTTGTTTAGCCCTGTGTTGGCAGTTTTTAGAATTCCATAGCTCAACATAATATATTTCCTCCAAAGTTAGTCTCATGCAGAGGAGTAACCTATGTTTCTGAATATTTCTGAACATTCCTCCTCCACTAGGTCTACAGAAAACTCAATCACAAACCTGCATACCAACCATCTTAAAAGGTGTGATTCTTGCTTTGACAAATTTATGTTAGTAACAGCCCATTAACATTAACAAATTAGAGGGTTAGAAGCAAAACCATGCAACACATGAATACCTTTCTTTAAAATCATTACTTTAATTAGGCCCACCATGAAAGATGTACATGGCTCAACTTAGCCCTTTAGAGAAAACAAGAGTCATGAGTAAAAAGACTATCAAAATGCCATGAAATTGCACATGAAATGCACTTCCTTTCTTAAGCACACTGCAATTCTGACTCATTTTTAACTGCATCTTGCACAATTTGGTTATGACATATGGTTCCATCTATCAGGTAACCACAAAAGTTTTTGCCGTTTTTAATATTCGTTAAAAAAGATCAAAATTCGTATTAAAAACCAATTTTATTCAGCGAAATAGTTTCCATTTGATACAATCACCTTTTCCCATCTTGAAACAAGCTTATAGAAGTCCCTGTTTTTGGAAGAGAAGAAAGCCTGGCATGTTCGACTGCTATCCTCTTCAATGGCAGATCTCAAGGCTTCATTGTCGATGTTCACAGGACAGTCGCTACGTAGTGTATCTTCAAGCGATTCATCCCCGATTCTGAATTTTTGGAACCAATTTCTTGCTGTCCATTCCTTTACAGCATCCTCTCCAAATGCTAAACATATTCTTCTAGTGGCTTCTGCAGCAGTGTTACCAAGTTTAAACTCATAGAGTAAACAACATCTGATGAGCTTCGACGACGACTCCATTTAAATATTTTATTGGCTTTACTAAATTAGATATTAACATGCAAATAAGATATAACAAATGTTTAAGCTATGGGTTGCTTTAAGAAGGCAGTTACACCTACTACCATTAGTATCTTTTAACTTAATAATGATAATGTAATATGACACATAAACGGCAAAAACTTTTGTGGTTACATTATATTTTCTGCAGGTGGAACACTGTGTTTGAGCTCTTCATGTGCAGCATAGCACAAATGAGGGGTGCAAAGAATGCAAATAATAATGAACTTACTATATAGTCCAAAATTCTTGGCAAAAGATTGTGCACATATCATTTCAAAGCCCTCGGAAGCAAAGTACCTGACAGCCCAGGCATCTTTGTCCAAGTCACCTGAAGCAAATCCTTGGTAGGCACAGTCGAAGAATGGGAACAACTTCTTTTCCTATGTTTCAGAAAAACAGAAGAAAAGTGGTGACAAAAAATTCCTCCATTCATCTAAGGGCAATGAACAAGTGCATCAGCATACTGCATAGTTTTGCTGAAACCCTACCCAAATCTGAAGCTAAGAACCACATTCTCATTCAAGAAGCTCATGGTATAAAATTGGACCCATGTATCAACAGGTATTTCAGATATCACCATTCACAACAATGCTCAATATTACACTCATGGTCAAAATGTTCAAGCATTGTCTCTGTGAGATGCTTGTAGAAGTGTATGACCCTTAATCATGAAGTTAATCAAGTTGTTACCTATATTTCAGGATTGAGAACCACAATTCTAGCCCAGTTACAAATGTGTGGATAGGTGCAAATGGTACAAGATTGGCTTCAACTTGCCCTGGATGCTCAGTTGATATTTTTTAATTGTAACACACTTAAAAAAAATAGACAAAACAGAGGTTATTATTATTATTCCAGTGCAGAAATTGAGAAATTGCATGAAACTAAGGGAACACAAATACTATCTTACACCTGGAAGTTCCTGAATATTATAGCAGCAAACAGTTTAGAGATCAGTAATCTCATTTCTCCCCACAAGAGAAATGATGGCAATTTTGAGTTTTTGTTGCAGCTGGCCCTTTGCTTACATCACCCATGAAGATTCAAGGTTCAAGTAGTGCTTTTATAGCCTTATAAGGTATAACAATTATGTTGTAAATTATAAGGCTCAAATATTGTATAACAATTTGGATCATGTTATACATGGTCCAAATTTAATTTACTCTGAAAAACTTTTTTCATAGTTGCTTAATAGCTAGCCTATTGGAATTTTCAATTTCAACCAACTTCACCCTATTTCATCCAACAATTTATAAAAACTTAATTTGGTTTGGATTTAAAAAAAAAATCGTTCACATGCAAAAGGAAAATGTGAAGAAGGGGGAAAATACCCAACTAAAAAAGTTCTTTCATCCAGATTCTAGTTTACTGAACCAAATATAAGCAATTTCATAAATTGATGCAGCAATGACTATATATTCCTCAATTAGAAAAAAAGCCACCCAGTCACAGTAAAACTACTTTGTTACCACTTCATAGAGTCATCATCATTCACTTATGAAGATACTCTGATGAGAATGACCTGCAACCTGACCCCTCATAAATAAGTATACCAGAATATACATAATGCACTGCCATTCCCAGTGTACAAAGATTACTTCTGTTTGTGCAATGACAGGAATATGGTGAAATGACAATGTCATCCCAGCACTACAGGCAGAAAAGATGCCATGGGACTCCATGAAAAAAATTTCACAATTACCACTTAATTGCAGGATGATATCTGATGAAGTCAATTCAAGCTAGAGGCAATTACTAGCATTCATGAATGCTACGGAAGAGAGCCCTTGTACAGGTGCTGTAATGAAACTGCACTTTACCCATGGAGATTAGCGAGGAGAGGAAGAAACTTGACATGCTTCAGTTCTCCATGAGCAAACTGGTTGGAGAAATCTAAAAGAAATACATATACCTGCTGGTTCAATTTATTATAGGAACCCACAGAGGCCATTCAAAAAACTCCATGCACAGGAGCATTCCTCATTACTCACTATATGCAAATCAGTGCATTTGGTGGGTGTCCAGATTTAAGGTTCATTCACATCAAATTTAACTATGAAGCAGTACAGGCCAATCTGAATGAGTCCAAATGAAATGTTGGATGGAACTCTATGCCAGGGCAGTGCCATGGCTGCAGCACATAAATGTAAATAGTTTGACTTTTGTGTACTTTTCCTATGCCTAATAATAACTTCTGTCCTCATGCTCATGTTCTTTTATGTTCTTTGATTGGAGACATCCAAATAGTCAATATGCCATTTGCTTCCCCTCTTTTCATTGGTTCTTTAAAAAAGAGTGGCATCTTCAAGGTGAATGGGATCCCTGCAATGTACTACTGGTGAAGCTGTGGTGATGCCTTTACCCTCCCTGCAATAATCCTTTAATGCTTGATAGGTGAATGGGAGAGGGGACAAAGAGAAAATACACACTCATGCACACAATTTGCTTAGCTGACCCCCAGACCTCCGTGCATTAAAGCAGTGTGGTACAGTGCAGTAATGGTGACAATGTGCCTGTTCTGCAGCAGTTCTAGCAACAAGTAGTGCTGTCAGGCAAAATAAAAAATGCAGGTTAATGTGGTCTATAGGAATAATTCCATATCTTAAAATGATGAAGTGTTGCAGCTGAAACTGCATGGGTTCCAAACACACCAAAGCAGCTCTATGATCAGGGCATGTCCCAGGTGGTAAAGTGCTGGCAAAATTGCATTGCTGTCCATGGTGACCAGATCAAGAAGAGTCCCATATGAACTTACATTGTGCAATGTTAGCAGTACACCATGCTACCATTGTTGTGCAGAGGTCCCTCTTTCTCAGTTGCAAGGTCTAATGCTGTCAAGGTCACATGCAAAAGCCACTTATTCGAGCTGAAGCATATGCAAAGACAAGAAGCCAATCAAAACCACTTGAGTTTTCCAACCAAATTGCAAAGCATAGCTTATAAAATGTATCATGGTTTTTAAAATTCCAGAAGCAAGTTATTCTGCCTGAAAACAGATGAAAATGCCAGAATGCATTGATGGGTGTCATCAAAATCTTAAGAGCAAACATTTGGATGAGCAGGGATGTCATGCAATACAGTCATTTTTGGGACAAGATGGGCATGCCCCCACAACACTATCTCATCAATACCCACCTTCATGACAGCAGCTATTTGTTTCCATTGCTCTTCTGTGGGGTCACTCCCAGTAGGATTGTGGGCACAAGAATGCAGAATGATGACTGAATTTTCTTGTGCTGATCGCAAGTCCTCCAACATTCCCTCAATGTCGACACAACGCTTTGCAGCATCCCAATAGCGGTACTCCTTAACTTCACTGAAGCCAGCATTCACAAATACCAATCTATGGTTCTCTGCAAAATGTGTAATACAAACAATCTCACAATGATATCACTGACAGCAACAAAGATAGGGTGATAGAATTCCTAGTTCACTGAATTCATTTCAACAGAGAGGTAGGGCTTTCCCAGTTTTCTACTGCAACTTTAACTGACAATGTATCAACTCAGCATTAATGATCCAATACAGATTGTAGAAAGTTATAGAGAAAAATTATATTTACTACTGCTGTTTTGGAAGGTATACAAGTGATGCAAGATAAAGAAAATGGCTTGTGTGGCATCCCTGAATGGGAATTGTTCACTACTTAACCCAAATACAACCTGCCAATTTTTTGTGAAGGAGGTAAAGTTCCTTAGCGAAACAAATTCGCTTCCATCATTGTACCTACCATTCATTGTATCATTCACTACCTACTTGTACACTTAGTTACTTAGTTGTAGTCCTACTTGATGATGATGGCCATGAAAGAATGGGAGATCCTTGGATGTTATATCATTGAACTCACAGACAGTAAGTGTCTCCATGAGAATGTTTACTAGGATCAAAATTAAGAACACTATGTAGATGGTCATTATACAGGGAGAACAGCATAAGGCAGGCCATTTGTAATGACAGAAGCCTTAACACATTGACTGCCATGTCAGTCACCCATGGCTGATACTATGAAGTTTGTCCCAGGCCGATCAGCTACGGGTGGCTGATGCTCACCTCCAAGCTATTCTGACCTGTTTGGGCTGATGTATGCATGCATTTTGCTTAGCAATTTGATGGCTTGGCCTAGTGTGAATAATATATGACATGATATTCATCTCTATGGAGCATTGATATACTTTTTTTTTGGCAAATGAACTTAATTGATCACAATGGTGGTGTGCAAAAGCATTCCATGCATCCAGAACAATCCACCCAACATTGTTCCAAACAAGCAACACATTATGTCACAATGCACTTCATCTTCTTGGCTTGTACCTGTTCCAATTCTTCCTTCAGATGTGAATAGCACAACTTACTTCTTTTTGCCAATTTTGGCCCATTTCTTTCCTTCAAAACATGTTTCAGCAGAGCTGATGTGTGGGAGTGATAGAAACCTTGATGTTCTGTCAGTTCTCTCATGATTCTGTGGGACAAGCCATATCATATATCATAAACCTTATATCAGCCTTGCTTTCCTCAACAGGTGATTCTCCAAGTGAATCCATCATCCCTGCAAAAGTTTAAGGCATTTATGCCATACTTTTGACATTTTGATGGCATATACAGACGAAATGTCAATCTGCCATGTCATAGGACCATTGATTCATTAATGACGATCTCCTGTCCAGTTTTCAACACATCTTGGTAGTTATTCTCCAGAGCATCAAGTAGGAGTTGAAACTTGATAATGCAATCACCTTCTTCAATCTTCTTACTTTTGTCACATAGATGCACCATGCCAAGGAGTAGTTCAAACTGGTTCCAGGACATAACTTGCATTGCAAGATAATTCTGGTACAGGGGATTTGATGATCGAGTGTTTAAGGGCATCACCACAAGACCCATTCAAATTGGCAGGCTTGAGAACCTCCCAAGATGATACCAGCCACTATCAGTCCAGCTTTAGCTTTTCAAACAATTATAGAGTACCAATGTTGTATATAAGGATTTTCTGTGCATAGCTCTTGGAATCTCTTATGATGAGATTTAAGATTTCATCATTGACAAGATCATGAGCTTCAAGAAGACTGAATATGTGTCAATCACAATCAACAAGCAACCCATAGGTCAGTGGTGGTTTGTGATTCTCAGCAGTAGTGGATCGTTGATGGAGGCAGGGTAGGCCTGAGCCTAAACCCATTAAGAATACACTACCACTGATATCATGAGCCACCCATGCCATAGGTGTCTGTGAAGACAAAAACTTTGGCAACCTTGGTATATATATCAGATGGTGCTTGTTCCTGAATCTTCAGTCAAACCATGATCATTTGCTTCTCAACTGTCAACAATTTGTTGATTGTCCTCATCTACTTCCATATCACGATCCCTGTCAATCCTTACACTATCAGAATCACCAAGATAAGGTGATGCAAATGGAGTTCTATCAGTCATCAATTTTTGAAGACACCACTTCCAAGAAAGAAATAAACAATGGATGTGTCATGTTCCCTTGGTCAAGAATTTGACTGGACACTTTTATTCAACTGATATTAGAGATTAAATGAGTGGGTTCAGACCCAAATCAGTTATTGGTGGCTTACATGGCTACAGCTGAAATATATTGCAGTTGGACAATGTCAACCCATCAGGGTTGACATCCTATTTTGGTCATTAACATTTTTTCTCAAACAGTATCATAGGGTATTAAAATGTCAAAAGTTACAAGTCCACAAGATGCTACAACAATACCTCTGGCCTGGTGGAAGCACTTTCCTTAGAAGGGCTTGGCAGTCAATGTGTATAAAATAACCCAAATAAAATAAAATTACTGGACTTCAACAAGATTATACATTTTTAACATACAGCTTGATCTTGATTGACCAGTGGTTCAAGGTAAGAGGTTCTGCCTAAATACAATGATGCTGTATTTAAACAGTCAATACTATACCTCATAGCTCTCTATTCATCATTCCAAAGTCTCATTGATGGGTAAATTATGATAGTGAATAGTTTACTGGTAAATGGTAGAGCATGAAACTTCTTTCATATGTATTATGATGGGTGGAGATGAGATCATTAACATTATCATATATCCTATGACAAGCCTTTATGTGCTCAACTTACAGCTGATGAGCATCATGGGCAAATGAGAATTTCCCAATTTTTTCCATTCAAAAAGTACATAACTTTTGAAGCTGAAAGCAACCATAACCTGTTTATCTCCAGAAGATATGAAGGAAAACATTAAATACTTTTGCTTTTATATGAATTAGAACGTGTTTCCAGATGCCAGAAGTGGTCATGGAAATGATTAGCATCTCAATGGCATAAATTGACTATTTATAAGAACCTCCTCTGATTATGATGCTACCATAGAGAAATTATGGTATTGAATCATTGATAGCTACTGAGCCCACAATCAAGAGAGATTAGCAGACTTTGATCATTTCCTAGTTAGGGTATGAATGCAGATGCTCAGTTAACTTCTTACATTATGTATCCATTCCAGAGATGTCCTCAGAAATATCTGGAAAGCATACACAAGCCATTCTTTACTTACCCCAAGTTGGAATAGAGTAGTAGAAGGTTTTGCAGTTCAAGATTCTTGCCAGGAACTCGGCCCCTACCCTCAATGCTCCTGTTCCACTCAAGCACTGTATTCCAATTGCCTGAAGTCAAAATCAGGAGAATCTCATCAACATGTGGAAAACAATCACCTTCTAGTGAGTAAAGTACTGGATGTTGCAAAAAAAAATACTTTTGGGTTACACACATACACTGGATAATGGAAGTTTTTTTCTAGACATGTTATATATTTCATTCTGCTTAATTTTTTTCATCATTTTGTTATTTTGCTAAGCTGATCCATAGGACTATCATTCAATCTGGGTAAATGTGCTATTCAAGCAAAATATTGTGTTCAGTAATGAGAATGTAGTGGAATACGAGCAAGCAGAGGATTGCAAAAACTGAAGATGTTTGGGTTAACTTTTTTTTCTTCACCTGAATAGAATTGTCTGTGGGAACAAAAGAATGGTAAAAGATGTAGAGAAAAGGTACAACATATCTAGCAATGAGAGGAGATTCAAATAAAAACAACAAGCTTATCTGGAAAAGCTGACTCATGGCACCCCTACTTGGAATATTTCCTATACAAAAAAAACTTAGCAAATGAAGCAACTGACTTCCTTCCAAATATATTAGTGAAGTTTCAGAACACAAGTACAAACAAGCAAAAATTTGCCTATTTGTTGTATGGTTTCAATTTTCAAAGTTTTGTTGAAATATCCAGAGCAAACCCTGCACTTTCCAGACAGCAGCCATGCAGCTCTCCAAGCTATGACAGTTGGTGAGGATAGTGCACACTGGATATACCATGGTAAAGCAACTTGGGCTGAAAGGAAGTAATGTACATCAAGCCCTATTCATCTAATTCTTCATTATGGAATAATAATGAAATGGAATAATGTTACTTTTCCCTGATAGCAGCCAACTTCAACTGAGCACTAGCAATACTTATACTACCTTACCTTGTTTCCCACCTTTGCTTACTTGTACTTTAAATGTTTCCGGAATTGATAGAAATATAGTATTTCATACCTCATAGGTCAAGAAGAGAATGAAGTGTTTAAGCTCCCAGATGCAAGTTATTTTTTATTGCTGAGCTGTCTAATTAGACATCCATTTAGACAACCATGATATTATTTCTAGGCCTATCAATCAACTATTAGACTCATCACACTTGTATGCCTTCTTGTACTACCAACAAAACCCTGGAAGAGAGTAGCATCTGAATCCTACATCATCCATTCTACTCCTTACAGAGTATCCGTGGAGCTCCCTTGCAGATTGTAAGCAGTCATGTCTCTGATGAAAGATGAGTATGTTGAAATACTACTTTCATGTAGGTGAAAGCTGAAAACCAACAGGAAAGTGGCTGATGAATTTTATCTGCAACATCCTGGGAGGCCAAAATCAAACCAGACATGTTTGAGTTTAGAAAGACTGGTTATATGATGAAAATAATGAAACTTAGATGGGCAGGAAAAGCATTTTGATTCTGTAACAGCCACACTTTTTAAAATGGTGAATTGCAAAAAAGTTGACAAGACACACAGAAATGTAAACATGTCAGTACAGCTAGTTTTAATAGACTTTAGAAGGATTGTAAGTGCTTCCAGTTTCAATCATTGTGTGGTTTCTAAAACACCAAGTAATAACATGTTCATTATGGCTGGATGTCTTGACAAAAGAATAATTGTCAAATTTTAATTGTGCTCTGGGTATTACTGGTTTTCTTTAAAAGCAAAGCAACTGAAAGAAATTTTTTGCTTGTGCTTTCCTAATTGACTTTTATGAATGGCAATCCAGGAATTTATCTTTTATCATACAATGTCACCATATTTGAAAATTCCACTCCACTCATGCTCAATGTCTGAAATGGACAAAAATTTGATTCATTCATTGGTATTCAAGTGACATTTTCTACATAAAATGTGTACTAGTGTGTGAGAAAACATGGACATTAAGTACTAAAAAAAATACTGGATAGCCATGTGGCAAAGAAAAAGGTGATACCCTTGCTGCAGAAAAACAAGTTGCTGACTCACCCTTCCTTCTTTTAGAACAGGAGATTCACTTCCTAAGAGCATCCTTGTGGCAGCAGATGAAGCAGCATCAAGCCCCAGGACAGGAAGATACTCATGATTTAGTTTCTCCTCCTTTATATGCTGAGCAATCATTTCTTCAACTTTCTTCACTACTGGGAGAATCCATGGCTTCCCCTCATCAGATCTATATGCTGGAGGAACAAACCATTGAGAATACATGTAGCAAAAATTGGCAGTACTGCTAATGAGCAAAATTTCAAGTTCAATCTATTGAGGAATGACTGCACGACTGCAGAAGGAAATCCATGAAAATAATTTCCCTTGAAGGAAAAAAAAAAAGAATGCTAAAAAAGTTCACATTGTGCGAAATCACTAGCAGTAGTAATGAAAAACCATACCACTTCTGGTGATGAATGTTTAATGGAGCTTATTAGGTCAAGTTTAGTACCTATACAAAGCAGGAAATATAAGTTGGATAACAGTTTTGTAAATCAATTTTTTACCACTTTTGTCCCAATTACTCTGGAACCCTGTCTATGCAGGGCACTGCATAGACAAAGAAAAATCCACAAGCAGTTGAACACATAATTGAGGAAGGCTGATCCTCATCATACATTCCTCAACAGCACTGCCACACCTTGCTGTCCTATCTATCACGCTGTATCTTGTTTTCAGCGGCCCAGGGAATGCAATGGCAACTTCAATTCTATTGTTTCTAAACTCTTCATAACCAGACATCAAACTCACGAAGCAGGTGCTATTGAGGAGCACCAAACTCCTACCTCCCATTCCATGCAGCATAGAGTGGCCCATATGTAAGTCCAAGTGAGAACCATTAAGAAGCAATGGAAGCCAGGTGAATTGTTGGTCCAGGAGAATACAGCTTGCTATTGGTTATAATATTGAATCTGGGCCTCTCACATCATTGCCTGGAACTTTGAAGTCATTTCCTCGAGTGACAATACTTGGCTTCTCATAATTCCACCTATAAGCTTTAGAACTCTTTCTCATGAAGGTATATCACAAAGATGGCCTCCTTAAAAAATGGAAGCTAATCTGATGGTGGGTTCAAGGATATATTTTGAAATGTTCCTCTAGTTGAGGAAAATGTCAAGTTGATGTTGGCCTTCTTTTGCACCATGTGTTATCATACACAACTCTCAGTTTCTAATGGCATCTGCCACAATATTGTGGAATCTCAATAATGCTTTAATGATAGCAATTGCAATTGGCATTAAACTGAACAGTAAAACTGTCTCTATTGACGACAATGAAATAGCAAGTTTGGCAGACAGAAAATAACTCATTTCTATTTAAGAAGCATTCAAAACATTATTACTAGTTAGTTTGTTACCTCCTAGAACTATTTAGTAGGCTTATTTATCACCAAATGGAGTATTGTTCCCCATCTCTGGTTTTTGTGCCCTTACTAAGACCTGCACCTTGATTAAGGCTTTTTCCAAGTGAATTTCTTATAGTACAATTCTCCATTTTCCTGATTCTATGCTAGCAGATCCAGCATATTCAGGCACAACAACCTTTCTTGCCTTGTTTCTTTATCTTTTTTCTTCCATCCTTCATTTTTGACTTCTTAATCTATTTATTTTTCAATCTGAATTTAAGAGTGATGCTCTCCAGATTACTTGCCTAATTTTATTTACTTTGTATAAATCCTTCTAGGAAATTGTCAAATGATCAGTTAAAGGCCTGTGTGATCCCATTCTCTTTCTGCCTGCACTAAAACTTTCATCTGGAGGGTAGCTTTTTTGATGATTTCAAAGAGATGCAAGCAGTCATGATAGCAGCACCAAAGAAGGTTGCAGAAAACAGCATGTAACCTTGTTCTTGTGGGTGTAGGACCACTGGAGGTACAGTGTGACTGCCAAAAGGGACTACTTTGAAGAAGACCACAAGTTGGTGTGATTTCCCTCAGTGATTGGCAAAAAAAAAGTTCAGCCCAATAACTTTTTGATAGGTATTTGTAGAATTGACTTACCACCAACACCAAGATTCACTTTCTTCGGAAATGAATCGTCAGTGTAAGCCTTGGTGAGGGCAAACACTTCAATGGGTGGAGCAGCATTGATATCACGGAATCTAGACATGGCAGATGTCCTTGACTAACTGCTTCTTGGATGTTTGAATGCTGTGAATTAAGGAAACTGCCAGTACTGGTAAACCTATATGGAGCCAACCACCAAACATTAGGGACAGCAGTTATGAGCATAAATTTAGCCTGCAAAACATTAGGCTTAAGCATGCAGTGAATACAAAATGGATTCATAGGCATAACATCTTGCAGACCAAGGATATTTCCTGACAGCAATTACATCCTGATGGATGTATATTACCTCAGCATTCTGAGCAACTACTCACTTCTGCTTCCTTCAAATATGCACTTAAACTTTGTTGCAAAATTCACTTCCCATCAAATGACAATTAACTGAGTTGGCAAAGCTTATGTTTTCTTAAGTGCTTTTTGATACTATTCAGGTGGTTAACTTGAGAGATTTCAGAAGTGTGAAGTCATATTTATTATGTTACTACAATATAATTGCTGGTCCTATTAATGAGAATAGTCATATTTACTAAAAGCAAGTAAAAAAAAATAAAACACAATATGAGATCAACTTGGCATTAGGATGTGACTACCAATTAACTTCTCAAATTTTAACTCAATTTTTTCTTTCACATCACAATATGAATCAGCGAACCCTAGTATGAACCCTTTTAACAATTGTCTCCACTGACCCATTGAATGTAACTTTAGCATGCAGGGTGAAAAATTGTCCAAATGTGCATTCATTGGAACATCTAATCCTTTAGGAAAGAAACGGCTAAGATACTGCATAAAAATCCAATCATTCTGCATTGCTGCCTCATTTTGATTGAATGAAAAACAGAAATGGTAAGCCTATTTTAGTTTAGGCTTGTGGCTCCCAGAACTCTGAAAAGGCATGCTTTCCTTCTTTGTATAAGTTTTCTCTTTATTTATTTTTCTGTCTTTCTATTTTATGATATCCTTTCAACCTCTTTATATTATCGGTATATCAAAGACAATTCAGATGATTTCCTTGTGTTTGCCTAGGCCTATTCATAATCTTGAATAGTTCAATCTTCCTATCTTCACTAAGCTATTTTCTGACCCTAAACCCAATTACGAGCTGGGGATGCTGCTAAGATTGTGTGTCTAGCCTTTCATCAGCATTTTTGGTATTTTAGAAAGTCCCTGGGAAAGTTCAACTTCACAACTATGTATGGAGGTCGGTTTAGACGTTAACGTTAGTGTTTAATCAATAAATTGGCTTATGTTTTCAATGGGTTTGTCTAAGAGAGGCTTACCTGAAACGCTAATTTTTTGCTAAACCAATATGTAATCTTAAACTGTAGGGAGTGAATTTAAAAAATTACAAAATGAATTTAAAAGTATGCGACTCCAATCCAGATTCACTTCATCGAGCACCAACAAGATCACATGACCTAGCAATAACCGGCAAGGGCGACGCCATTGTAGACGATGGTGGAGGCACTCAGGTAGCAAATATGGCGGCGTGCACGGGAGCTCGGTTCTTGCCAGGTTTCCTGATCCACAGAAGTGGTAAGTCTTTGGCGCATGGAAGCTTGCCCAACTTGATCATTGCCTAACGATGTCGGTTTGTATAAATATATATGAAAGGCCCCAATTGACTTCGCACTTTGCAAAGGTTCTGACCCGATTCACTCACATCTCATAAAAAGCAGCTGACTTCCTCCACCAGTCATCTCCTATGTAATCCAGTTTCCTTGGTTATTAAGTCAATGGTGCAAGACATTCAAGCAATGTGCATGATTTGAAGTTAGATATAAGTCTTACATCAGAGGAACAAAGAGGTTATTCTTAAATACACATTGTTCCTATGTAAAGAACATAGTGAGGATGCATCCACCCCAACCCGTGAGCCTGGAGAATGACAAGGCTCACCTGTTTGTATTGCTTTATGGATATGCACAACTATACTGTAAAGTTAAAAGAGAGCATGCAACCAAGTGTTCTGATTCGTTGCTCCAGGTTTGGACTTTTGACAAGCTTCATGGGTTTGTCATCTAACCCTTGGTGATCAAAATGTTCATCACAACATTCTTCTCAATTTTAATACCCTTTCTGCAGACCCTTTGGTAGCTCATGGAAAAAATTCATTGAAGCTACATTTAATCGATGAATAAGGTGAAAATTTGCCAGTCACCATCAAAGACATCAGCCTTCTCATGAGGTGATTAATAATGATGAATTGCAACTGAAATTGCCTCAGGCTATGAACTTTTCGATCGGTCCTCATATATGAGCACTCTGTATTCCCCCTTTGACTCATAGGGTTGTCAAAAGGTCAAGAATGTTGTGGGATTGCTCTCCCTTAATTGCCCACTTCTCAATATATACCCTGCTCACTTATTAGTGTGTTTCTGCTTCTTGTCTGATTATACATTGCTGCTGTTCTTCTTAGCTCTACCACGATCCTTTGTTCGCACATGCTACTCAGCAACTCGAGGGAGTCTCTTGATCAATGAAGGGACGAAAGTGATTTGTCAAGGCTTCACTGGCAAGCAGGGTACATTCCACAGTTTGCAGGCAATTGAGTATGGAACACATATGGTTGGTGGAGTCTCTCCTGGTAAAGGAGGCAAGCAACACCTGGGTCTACCAGTATTCAACTCTGTTCGTGAGGTATTGATGCTGATACTTTACATTCTGTTTGGATTGATATGTGTGGACTTGGTACTATTATGCAGACTTTTCCTGTGTAAACTCAATTGGATGAATTTTAAAGAGGATGAAGTCAGTCTAAAAATGTGCAAGATCATTTAAATATCTTTGTAATATGTTATACACATATTAATAGATGCTGATTTTTGTTTATCTGTAGGGATATTCAGAGATCTTCCTATTGACATGGTTTAGGTTCCTTGTTTTTACTAATGAGTTTTTCTTTTTTATTATACTCCTTAGCTTTAGGATAGATAATTATAGCTGGCCCAAGAGGGACCCTTGACCAAAGATTTCCTAGCTTTGTTTGACTATCAACAATCATATGCTAAAAACTATTTTTCATACATATTCTTCTAATGGATAAGAGATCTGGGGAAAATAAGAGACAAAAGCTAATTGTTACTGTGTTTATGAAATTGTTAGCATATGCCCCTAAGTTTTGTTTTATTGTTTTCCAGGCAAAGGAAGCCCTACATCCAACTGCCTCTGTGATATATGTACCCCCTCCTGCTGCTGCTGCTGCCATCATTGAGGCTATTGATGTAGAAATTCCTTTGATTGTCTGTATCACTGAGGGAATCCCACAGCAGGTGAGTGCCCCTCATAAAGACTTAATTGAAAACCTTTCAGAAAAGTATATTTCTTTGGGAAGTCATTTCCACAGGCCCAATTTCAATGGTATGTGTGAAAACTGCCTGGAGGGTTAAGCCTACTTTACATCATGTTTGGAGTTCTTGTATAATTTGCAGCCATTACCCATTATATCCATTAGGGCCAGAATGTCTATAGACAAGTTAGCTGTACTCATGTGTTTGCCACTATTCTACCAGCAACATATATTTTTGTCCCTGCTTGCATGAATCAGTCATTCTAACTTACCATCCTAACCATCCATCAAGCTACTGTTCACTTTTTTCTCCCCTCTGCTTAACCCTCATTTCATAGAGCTGCATTTTCTTTCTGTTCGCATATCATTTTTCTGTTAGTGGCATCCCCTGTATTTGAATGACTCATTGATGCAGGCCAAGTGAGAGGAAAAGCTGATGATTTGAGCAGGGAGGTCATCTGGTTGGGAGTCCACCTCAAGGTACAGCCCCTTCTTCCAAATGTCTTGACCAGGGTGTATATAATCCACCTTGGGGTGAGGATGAGACTTTGCATGGGACTGGGTTCAGTAGCTGAGTTGTTTGGGCTTCCAACCAAAACTTAGGTAGGGGATTGCCAGCAGTGGACTCATACCTGCTGACAGGCAACCCCCTAACTAACAGATACTCCCCCAAAGCAGAGGCTTTGGGGGAGTATCTGTTAGAGTAATACATGCACCACTTTGTGTGCTACATCCAGGTGGTTCCAGTGTAGTAAATCACTGAAACCCCACTCATGCCCAGTCATGGGCATAGGCAACCTCCTAAGCTGTCCCTAAGGATTCCATTAGGACCATGGAGGGCCATCCCTGCCTGAGGGATTGTTACTAGGTGAAGTGCCTACATGGCACAAGCACCTTCTTCCTTTCTATGTACTATAATATGCCACTTGTCACATGTACCTCCCATGTGTCCCCATCTTAAAAAAGAAAGACCTTATGTGGACTCAGCTCTATTAACAAGCTGATTCATTCACATTTTAATGTAGATTTATATTATCTGGGGTAGTAGTCACTAGAATAAAAGGCACTTGCTGAGCTTATATCTAAAGATTTACAAGTCTAGACATTAAAATATATGGATTTTCAAACTAATTCTTTCCAAAATTAGCACCCTCTTTATTTTCAGCTCTTTTTGAGCTGGAGATTCTGCTATGCATTGGTATTTCTCAGCTATTACATGCAAAAGAATGAAATGATCTAGACTTTTGGAGGGGCTCTGCTTTTTGACAAATGAGATGAAAAGCCAGAGAAGCTGATGTTTCTTTCAGGCTTAGTTTTTAATTAAAAGTTTGGAATATTTGTTTTAAGGTAGGGCATAATGTTAGAGGAAAACTGAGGTGCACTATTACCCACTCTGTCAACTTGTAAGCTATTTGGAATTCTGCCTATCTTGGCATTGGTGATGGGAAAGCCTGACTCTGTGCATGTTCTGACTCAGGACTTGTCAGAGAGTTGGTACACTGCAGTTAGCCTGGAGATTACTAGCCAGGTAGGATGGGTGTCGTTGTAGTTGACACTTATAAGTTGGGTGATATGATCTTCCAGTAGCTTATAGTATTCCCCTTTCTTGTAGTTGAGCTTTGCAACCTCAGAAATTCCCTAATAACAAAAAACTTCCAAAGTGCTTTGACAAAATCATAGTATGGCCATGCTTATGAAAGCTTACCACTCATAAGATTTCTCAATGACCTAATCAATGAATGATGGTTAGATACATCTTGATTTCCAATTATCTATTATGATAATTTTATGAGAGAGGTTTGGCTAGCGTGCAGGCTGATCATCTGGTCACTACTGTGAAATCAAAGAAAAAAGCCATTGGGTATGCTCCAGATATCCATTGAAGTATGTCATGAGGGTGATTTCAACTTGGCTTGGCAGACCTTGCAGTATCTCCAAACCTCTTTGATGGCATTCCTCAATTTTGAGATTGAAGAAGACTCTGTTATTTTGACAGTTGATGTCTTGTTGTGCAATGAATAGGTCAGTTTATTCTCTTGGAAAACGATCATGAAGAAGTTAAACTGAAAGGAATGATGAGTCATCTCAAAACTGTAATTCACAGAGACTTCAGTAGATCTGTTTCTCTTGCAGGATATGGTGAGAGTGAAACACCGACTCTTACGGCAGCATAAGTCACGTCTGATTGGCCCTAATTGTCCTGGAGTGATTGCTCCTGGAAAGGTAACAATACATGCACAAAAGTTGTCTTCCTCACATTTATAGGCTTTCTTTTGCTTCTCATTGTTATGATACCTGGAGTTGAAGATGATGGATGTCATTTTTTTATAGTGCAAGATTGGGATAATGCCAGGACATATCCATAAAGAAGGATGCATAGGTATTGTATCCAGATCTGGTACCCTTACATATGAAGCTGTTCATCAGACTACACTGGTAAGTAAGGAATATGGGCTCTGTAGGCTTTTGGTGCCCCTGACTAAGAGTTAAACTGTTTAGGTCCAACTTTTCTAATCATATATGCTTATACTTGTAAACAAATAATTACATGCATGTTGAAACTCTTATTCCTTTTGAAGTCTTTAGAAAAAAGGAAAAAATTGTTATTCTACCAACTATGGAGGATTGTTTGTTTTGTCATGGACTTCACTGGAACTGTCTTGATGGGTTTTCAGCAGATATGCATTTCTCCCCCCCTCCCCATGAATTTATATATATGCAGGGTATCCCATGAGTCTGGAATCTTAAGGAAACACTTCAATATCATTCCAAAAATGCTTTTTTTTATATGATTGCTGTTCTTTTGTGAACAAGCAATGAGGCACTTCTTTCACTGTTTCTTGTCCCTCTAAAGCACTTTTGGTTCTGTTTGCACAAGCATCTGCTATATGCTCTCCAATAGGATCAAGAATACATATCTTGACAGATTACACAATGACTTTCAAATGTCCTCAGAAGAGTCAGGCTGGATGACCTTGGAGCTCCTCTTCCAGGCAGCTCATCTCAGGCAACCAATCCCAAAAAGAAAAGATATTTTCCCTTTGATTCCAGACTTCCATGATGCCCTGTACTCATGGAGTTGACCTACCTAAACAAGACCTCAAGTTTATAATGTAAGATTGTCCTCTCTATTCTGGTTTGTTTTTTATGTTTTAATGATCAGTTCATCACCAGGCTCCCTACAAAATATTGGAAGATGGGAGCCAGGACCAAAGACAGAATAAAAATGTGAGCTTTATGTTGCTGCTGTTGAAGTTCATGACTGATATGCTAGGGAGGAAGGTGGCACCTTGGTGCCAAGTGGTGTATGCCAACTACGAGTGGGTAGTTGACTTCAACTCCTGCTGAGTTATGGTACCTGAATGTGTGATGTGAAAGTTGCCCATTAACCCCATGAGAGTAATGCAATGATTCCATCCAAATTTTTCTCTTTATTTTTCCTGTTCTTGGTATGAATACTGTGACAGCAGATGTACTTTACCTTTGCAACTAATGGACATTTTCATGGCTCAGTACCGGTTCAGGTTTGAACTAATTTATTTTCTTTCCATGTCCTCTAGGTAGGATTGGGGCAGACATTGTGCGTTGGGATTGGAGGTGATCCCTTCCATGGCACAAATTTCATTGATTGTTTAGAAGTATTCCTGAAAGATCCTCTGACAAAAGGCATTGTCCTCATTGGAGAAATTGGTGGTGGAGCCGAAGAACGTGCAGCAGAATACTTGGCTAAACATAATGCTGTAAGTAATCTTGTTTTCAAGGAACTGTCTAGGTTTTAGGGAATGGTTCACTGTGTGGATTCCAAGTGGCAGATGCTTTAAATTTCCTAAGAGGTTAAAGCAAAATTAAATTGAACTGCATTTTCATCATGATGATGACATTGATATACATAGAATGAAGATTCCTGCCACAATCCACCTGTGGCAAACTTCTTAGGGAAATAATTTTTTCAAAATGGATCATTAAGGAAAGTTTTAAGCTTTTGAAAATGGAAGGAGTAGTTGAGGTGAGCTGAAGAGGATTTTTTTCCTCTCCACAAGGAAGAAAGACTAAGAAGCACTCATTGATATTCATGAATCCAAACAAATTTGGATGAATATCTGACTCCTGGATAAGCTGATGTTTATTTTGAAAAAATTTTCAGTGTGAATTCTCTGACAGCATGCATTAATGCTCAGAGATGAGGTCAAAGTTGATGCACTTGAATACCATTGGGACAACTCAAGCAGTCCTGATTGAATGCATTGTTTGTCAGGCAGTTCAACTTCATTGGTAAGCAGCTCCCAAACAAACTCTCATAGAATGTCTTCCACCCTTAACTTCTCTAGCCCCTGGAGCAAGAGTCTGACTTTCCAAACACTTATTGCACAAGAATCTAATTAGAGTCTGAGTATCTGAAAACATCAAGTGTTCAAGGGGAAGTTTTTCTTCCCAGGGGTCACATGCCAAGCCAGTTGTTGCATTCATTGCTGGCCTAACTGCCCCTCCTGGCAGGAGGATGGGCCATGCAGGTGCTATCATCTCTGCTGGAAAAGGAAGTGCTCAAGACAAGATCGACTCACTCGAACAGGTATGGCGTTGTGTACGCATGTTCTTCTTCTGTGGAAAGTAAATTGCATGCCAGATTGTGTAAAGCCAGAGGTTGTGAATTTGCCAAAGCATAGTCATGATATAGATTTCAGGAAACTATTGTCTTTCTAATTCTGAATTGTCTCTCTCTGGTTGATTTTTCAGTGTTGTTTATGTTGCCTCCTGAATGACCACGGGTTGATTGGCCTATTGGATACAAAGATAAATCTCGATTTTCAAGAAAATTGTCAGCTTTGGCTCTATTGCTTGACAGGATTTTAGTTATTTTTTCTCTTTATTGTTTTTATTGAAGCAGTGAGGACTCAGTATTGTGAGAAGCAGAACCATGAAAGTAAGGGAAGTCCCAGTATCACGGAGATCATAGTATCCAAGGTGCATCCTGGCTGCATCTCTTTTGTTTCATGGTAGCCTTGTAAACTCCCTCGGTCTCACTAAATTCATGGAGATAATCTACTAAATGCAGGACTCATATGGAGTGCACTGTGCCTTACAGTCAAACCAAAGGAGTTTCCTGATCTTACATTTGAAGAGCCCACAGGAAGAACAATCCATGTCACATTTAGGTTGTTTTGAGAAAAACAAAAATGAAGTTACCACATGGATCCTTGATACAAAAATGGTATATATTATAGTATCATTGATGATTTTGCAATTTTAAGAAAATCAGAAATGAAAGCTTGTACAACGAACTTTTTGGTGGCAGCACTATCTCAAAATTTTCACAAATATTACTTTGATCATTCTTCCAGTGGGCCCTTCATTTGTTCACATATCACTGGGAAGCTATGTCTGTGATACGTGCCTATTGTGTTGCTAATGTTTTAAGATGCAGTAAAAGTTTAAAGCCTCACTCAAAGGAGAAAACTTTCCCCTGCTTGGACCTCAATATGTAGGCCTGCCATTGGAATTATTGTATAACTTGGCAAGGTTTCAATTTACAAACTTCAATACAGATACAAGGTATTGCAAAAAAAAAAAATACCTCCAATCACTAATCAACAAGCCTCTGTTTTTAACTCTAACATCTTTAATGAAATTTGCCTTGTCCTTTGGCTGTTATATTTCCAATGGTCTTATGAAACTTTATTCAAGTTTGTTGAGCCAAGAAAAGACTATGAACAAATATCCCAAGTGACAGTGGGTGTTGGAAACAAGCAGGAACAGGTACTGGCACTCAAGTGAAGGAGGCAATTTCATGCTCTAGTTACATATTGTTCAGACCTCATTGAACATCCCTTCCATTAATATTTAATCTTTGGCCTTTTCTTGCTGGTTGTTTTGATAGACTGTTTTTTTTTTTCATCGCTGATGGTCAATACAGATAGTTTGCTTTGAGTTTCTCCAGATTTACCAATTGTTTACCTTGAACTTTGGTAGACGAAACAGAATAAGCTCTCAACAGGGAATGGAGACCTCATCCATTTTCAATTTATATTTCTATCTAGCAGGGGTTGCGTTTACGCGCAGATGTGCGTCCTATACGCACAAAATTCTGAAGGGACGCACAACAGAAAAACATTGGGGTCCCAGGGACACACGGGAAGGTTCTAGATTTTTTTACTACCAGTTGGCTCTTAGGCCTCTTAGAACCGTGCCTAAATAAACCCGTGCGCAACCTTATTAGTGACAGGAAGGGGGGGGGGGAGTCCTTGCCGAGGAAGGTGCGCGACGTGAAAGTGATGAGTGGCGCATGATGCATTGTGTTCACACGTTCATGACGTATTTCCGTTCGTTTCAATTTAGACTTCAGGGCGGTTTGGGCCAACACTCTTCTCGTTCAGTTACAAGCGGAAAATGTACGATGTTAGTTTATTCGAATCACACATTGGCATGTGTTCAGATGTTCCTGAACGTGGGCCTAGTGGCACATAAAGAAAGGTATCAACAGCCTAGGTATAAATTCTAAACGAAGGTGATGTCATCGTTCCACTTAATGTGCACAGAGAAGGGAAGATTGCCGTAGGCTTTGACCGAAGGGAAAGAGATGGACGTGGGCGATTATGAAAATGGGTAGCTTGTGAACCATGAATCACAACGAAGGAAAAAATATTTTAAAGATGGAAAAAGGCGTGGGTCAAAATGTATTCCTGGCTTTCCTATAGAGATGGAAGAGCTTCCTGTGATTTCTGCTCAAATGCAAATAAGAAAAATCCCCACTCAGCATCTGGCAGTCGTAATAAGCAGAAATTTGTAATTTGAAAATTTGAAGATGCCCTAGGGATATTTGTTAAAAAGAAAATGTTGGAAGTAGTCCTAAAGCTGCTGGATTGAATATCATGCTTTTGGTCATGTTAAATCAAAGAAAAAACATTGACTGTGAGATTTTAAACATTTTGTGCAACTTTGCAAGATTTCATCATGCTTCAATTGCGATGGGACCCCAAAATTTTTCTGAGTGACCCTTTCTTATAAGACTTAAGAGTCCTGAGGACCCTTAAGGCAATAAAATTAGCGCAAGCCCTGCTCATAGTCTTGCTTTCAAGTAACGAATTTACCTTAAACTTGGAAAAACTATTTGGCGCATATCAATTGATGCATAATCCAAGTTCTGGGAAAATGGCATCAGCAATGGGAGGATCATAAAGGTTTAGGGTGGATTTTTGAATAGAGCACTATCCGATAATGCTGTTTTATTCCAGCGAAAATGCATGATATTTCCTGGAAATAAAGCGTATTATCGGATATTTCTCTGTTCAAAAATCCACCTTTAGAGTTTTGAGTCCTTCGGTATCATACCCCTACCCTTCTATAGGCACACAATTAATTGGGGTGCCCGCTCATGCTCTTTACCTGAATGAAGCTTCTGAGTGTTGCACTCTGTTCTTTTCATGATGTTACCATCATGAAAAGAACAGAGTGATTCTTGATCGATTTAATCGAGTTGGATCTCAGTCTATGTCTATTCTCTTTTTCGTAGGTCGGTGTGATCGTGACGAGGAGTCCAGCACAGATGGGTTCCACGATTCTTGCAGAGATGAAAAAGAAAGGATTGGCGTAGTATTTGTTTCTTAAAAGAGGTAAATTTTCCCCATCAGTCATCGGCGCGACTGCTGTGTTTCCGATAAGCTCCAAGGTGCGACGTGTGCCGTGATGCTTCTTGTGCTATTCGACGTGGGAACTTCCATCGAGGCATCAAGGTTTCTCTTGAGAACCCCATGACCCTTGGATATCGTCCAGTTATGTGCCTGTGTTGCCCCTTCTGCATGTTACTTGCCTCATAATGAAGAAAATTCCCCATGGAAAGTATTTCCTTCTTGGCCGTTCGCCATAGCTAGAATACCCTTTCGTCGGAGCAAAAAAAAAGTTGAGTGACAGCGAAACGCATTCCCGTCGATCGGAGCCCGCATATTCCCCAAAATTTTCTCCCATTTTCTCCAAAACTTCTCTGCCGAAGAGGCGAACGAATAGCGCTCACTTGGTCTGTCAAGTAATAAAAAAATGTATATGGTGATAGGCTGTAAGACAGTTGTCCCAATTATTTTTGAGGAAAGAATAAGTTCGATTCTATCTACCTTACTAATGAGCTTAAGTGTCAGTGTGTCCGAGGGCTCTTCTCCTCCTAGAAGGTTTGATCTCTGATTCTGAAACTTTAAACATAGGCGTCGGGACGACGGAGTTTGGTGGCCCTGCCTCCGATGGGCCGCCTTGGGTCACCAGGGTCATTTTTCGTAAAAATAATCTCCTTCATTGTGCGGGAGCTACTAAATCCCCGGGGTTTCCAGGTCAAGTTCATTTTTCTATGTGACCATTCCCCTTTGAGATATTAGAGGTCAAAGGTCAACATTTCGGAGTTATTTTCCTGGCCATGCCTTGCACTCCGAGTTAGACCTGGAGGATCCGGACTTCGATTAGTTTATTTAAAGAAGAGACTGGGCCGCACTTGGAACACCACTGCTTCAGGGGAATGAGTCACGAATTCCGAAGTTTCAGTGGAGCCATGTCCGAGTCTCTAGGTTCCGATGAGCTGGACTTTTTTGGAACTGACATGCCAAGAACAGATTCGCCCTCAGATGCAATAGAATGCATGTTTGGTACGATTGGACGAGATGAAGAAATTCTGTAACCACTTGAACGGACTGGGGGTTTCAGGAAAAGCGACTTTCAGATAAGCATTCCCTTCCGTTATTTGAATCGGCTTTTTATTTCTTTGCGGAGATTAGAATACACGGATATGTGACTCTTCTCGTAAGACCGACGAAAGCTTCACGTCTCTTGGGGAAGAAACGGCACACACATCACAGAGAGAGAGAGAGATAAAGAGACGAAGCGGTCCGAGAGCGCAGATCCCCCCGACGACCGACTGACGGGAGTCCCATCCCCCCGAGCCGAACCGAACGTTCCCGAGTCCGCGAGGTCACACCGACGAACACCGAAAAGAAACGAAGACAGAGAATTCCAGGGCTTGCGGTCCGATGCACTCCGTCCCGGCGCCTTACGAGCGCCCTCGAGTCTTCTGACGACGAACGAAACGCATTCGTTGAAGGAACTCCAAGCGAAAAAAAAAAGTTCAAGGCGCAAAACTCACCTGTCCACTCGCATTGCTCCTCTTCTTCCTCTCCAAGTTGTAGCCGAGATGAGGAACGTCATCGAAGTTGAACGCCCCCTATCGGAAACCGAACAAAAAACACATTGGAACCACCCGACTGCGAGACGGAATCTACGAACGCGGAAGACCCTCACGTTCTTCATCTTCTCCTGCATCCTCTCCCACATCCTCGCCTCCACCAGCATCTGCTGGAAGTACTTCTTGAAGTCCTCCTCCGTGACGAGGTTCTCCGACCCGCAGTTGGCGACCCGGTTCCCGGCGGCGCGCTCCTCCCCCTCCTCCCCCCCCTCCACCCTGCCCCCGCTCCTCTTCTTCCCCATGCCCCCGCACCCGGCGAACCCGTTGCAGAAGGGCTTCTTCACCCGCGGATCCAGCGACGGCCCCCCGCTCTCGGCCGGGGCCGCCTCTCCCCTCTGGCGCGGCACATCCTGCGCGACACGCGGTTCCCTCTCGTCAGCATCGCTCGTGCTTCGCTCGCGGGGGAACGGAACGAAGAGAGGGGGACGGTCGGGAATTCATCACCGTCGTCCAAATGACTCCTATTTAATGATCCTCGATCCATTCCCTAATGCGCCTTGCAACTTTTCCAACAAGAGCGTGTGTGCACTATTCCATTACCGGAAAGACTCCGCCACGCCGTTTTGTCCTCCTATGGGAAATTCTCATCCACGCTCCATTCCCCGGAGTGCACACAATGTGTATCGACGCGTGCCACGAAGGGATTCCGCCCACACCGGAAAGAATTCTCAGAACGGCAGCGAAAGAATTCCACGAAAGAAATTATATACAGAGTGGCGCAAAAAAAAGGGAGCCTCTACTTTTATGCATCTCTTACATCTTTTTGAACCCCTGCGTTCCCAAATGATTTAATTCTCCCGCCAGAACATTCAACGCGAAGTAACCGGTGCTAATCATGAGTCGAGTGCGCTCCAATCGCACAATCTTCTGTAAGCCAATCTCCCCCGGATGCCAAAATGCACCTGGTGCCGTTGGGAAGGACTGCGTCACATGAGTCGTTTTCCAGTAAGTATAGAGTTATTGGCTCTCTCACCTGTGTTATTTCTTCGCGTTTCTGATTAACTGCGTTTTGCGTGTTTGCCACGCCTCGACGCAGCGAACAATTTCAATGAAGATTTCCTCATCGGTGAACCAGATGCGTCGCACACCCAGTTCACCCGGAGCGCCACCGCCCACATCAAGGGCAACTGCGACGTCCCCGCAAGACGAGGTGGCCCCCCTCCCCCCCCCCCCCCCCCCCCCCCCCCCCCCCCCCCCCCCCCCCCC